CTGGGGGTCAGGGCTGTGGGGGATGGGGTCGGGGGGTGCCCGGCTCAGAGGGGCTGGGCTCGGAGCTGGGGGTCAGGGCCATAGGGGATAGGATTGGGGGGGTGCCCGGCCTCAGCCCCTTACCATGCCGCTTACCCCCTCTCCCGGACAGCGCTGCAGTGACATGGTGTCTCCAGTGGCACCTGAGTTCCCGCTGCTCGGCCGCAGCCCCGCCCCCTTACCAGCTGAGATACCGGGGGATGGGGGAAGATGGAGGCAGGGGGAGCCTCCGACATACTCGTGGGGGCCCCTGCGGGGCCCAGGGAAAATTGCCCCACTTGCCCCCCCCCCCTTGGCAGCCCTGACTCTGGGAACCCCTCTCGCCGGAGCCCGTGCTCGGCTCCAGGGGACCCCGCTTCCCTCCCTCCCCGGCTCCTCACATATTCTGGGAGTCCCTCTTGCCACCGCCGCAGCCCAGGCTACGGCATCAGCAGCAAGAGGAGCTCCCGGAGTGTGTGAGGAGCCGGGGAGGGAGGGAAGCAGGGCCCGGGATGCAGGGAAGATCTACTTCATGTAGATCTTAATTATCCAAGGCTAACTTGTATTGAAAAGGGGTCCTGCTGCCGCTGCCGTTTCAAGTCTCCCCAGGGCAGCACAGTGTTTCCCCGAGTGGGCTGTGCAGGGCGCCACCGGGCTGGGCAGGGGGCGTGGATCCCGGCTAATGCACTGATAGGGCGAGTGGCTGGGCCCGGGCTGGCTCCCGGCGATGCCTCTCCAATCAAAAAAATTAAAAATAAAAGGGGGGGGCGGAGTGCCACCCCTTAGAAAGTGCCGCCCCAAGCACATGCTTGGAGGGCTGGTGCCTAGAGCCGGCCCTGAGTGACAGAGTGGGGATTCAGCCTTGACAGGAGTGTTGTGAGAGTTGGAGAACTCCAGAAGTATGGAGGTTCCTCAATGTTTCTTCTGAGGCATTACCATAAGTGAACTCAGTGATTCCATAGTAGCTTTAACCAAGAAGGTAGGACTTCATGTAGATCTTAATTATCCAAGGCTAACTTGTATTGAACAGTGTCTTGGAAGGTGATCAAAAGAAATGCCTTTTCCTGTCCAGCCTCAAGGATATTATTAGTGCTTAACAAATAAATAAATAATAAAATTTAGCTATCTTTTTATTCAACAGAATTTGTTATGCATATTTGCAGTTATATCTGATTACTTTAATGATAAATATGACAGAAGTTATGTGACGGGTTGGGTCACAGAATCTCCCTCAAGACTATCACTAGATGTGCTGAGATATCACTGAGAACAAACCCCCCTGCCAGAAAAGGCTTCCCTCCACTCCCGTCTTGCTGAGCTAGACACACCAGTCGGCTCCAGCACAGACCAAGAGGTTGGGCCACGCCCCCCTGCAGTTCACAGAAACTAAGATTCACTTAGCCCAGGGGCTTCTCAGTTAACAGGGACTTTCTCAGTACCAAGTAGTCAGTCTTTCTGGGAGACTAAACCCTCAATAAATCTGTTTTACTCTGTATAAAGCTTATACAGGGTAAATTCATAAATTGTCCGTCCTCTATAACGCTGATAGAGAGATGTGCACAGCTGTTTGCTCCCCCAGGTATTAATTATTTACTCTGGGTTAATTAATAAACAAAAGTGATTTTATTAAGTATAAAAAGTAGGATTTAAGTGGTTTCAAGTAATAACAGAACAAGGTAAGTTACTAAGTAAAATAAATCAAAATACGTAAGGCTAACTTAATACACTAAGGATCTAGTTACAAATAATAACTTTTCACCCTAGATGTTATCTCAGGTACAATCCTTTTCAGACCAACATTGTAATTTATGGCCTGGGTCCAGCAATTACTCATACCCCCATAATTACAGTTCTTTGTTCCAGTTCCTTTCAGGCATCTCTTTGGGGTGAAGAGACCATCTCTTGAGCCAGCTGAAGACCAAATGGAGAAGCTTCCAGGGCCTTTTATATTCTCTCTCTTGTGGGTGGAAGCCTCTTTGTTCTTCTGTGCAAAATCAGAGCAACAAGATGGAGTTTGTAGCCACCTGGGCAAGTCACATGTCCATGAATGATTCAGCTTTTTGTAGGCCAATGCCATTGTTTACATGTTAGTTTGAACGTTCCCAAGAAAGCTCAAATGTGATTGGCGTCTCCCAAAGTCCATTGTTAGTTAAGTACTCCCAATTACTTGAATAGCCCCTTCACAATATATTGGCCAAACCTCCCTTATGTATTGCCTACAGCAAACACTTCAAATACAAGCATAGAGCCAATGCTCATAACGTTAGATATAAAAATGATACATGCATACAAATAGGATGAATATATTCAGTAGATCATAACCTTTGCAAAGATATGTTACATGGCATATCTAGCACAAAACATATTCCAGTTATGTTATATTTACACTTATAAGCATATTTCCATAAACATATAGAGTGCAACGTCACAAGTTACATCTGATGGTCATTTACACTAAGGCCTGGAATGATGAATTTCAAGAGTACCTATCTGGATGGCTCGTTATGGCTACCTACCTTAATGTAAGGGTATGTTTACACTTAAAACTCTACAGTGGCATAGCTGCAGGTGCACCGCTATAGTGCTGCAGTGTAGATACTATAGTGATGCAGGGGTGGGGCACAGTTCTCGTTGCTGTAGTTAATCCACCTCCCCAAGGGGCAGTAGCTAGTCAACAGAAGAATTTTTCCATCACCCTAGCACAGTGGTTCCCAACTGGGGTTTGCGAACCCCTGGGGGTTCATGAATTGTTACAGGAGGTTCTCTGGGAAAAATTCCCTAATAGCGGACAGAGCTGTCCCAAGGGACTCCGGGCAGCATGGGGCCAGCAGCCCGGAGCCCCAAGACTTCCAAGAGCTAAGCAGATCAAAGCAAGCATCTCTCTCACACTGAGGAGACTTCACCTCCCTTTCCATTTCTTATAAGGAGTCTTGAAGGTTGATATTTTTTGCTGTTTTTAAAATTAAATAGGCAGCTAGTATTGTTTTTAAAATTATTATGAAGAACAAGTTTAAGCTTTGTTGTAACATGCGTTGTTTATCTGGATTGCTCAAGACCTGAATGCTTGTGTAGGAGGAACTCTTTGAGTTGGCTTCTTAAATACCTTCATGCTGTTTCACAGCTGATATTCCTTGATGAAACATAGGAGCCTTGTCTTATAACAGGCTTATTCAAAGTGATACAAGCTACGAAAGTGAGATCTTGGAAGAGTGTTGCTGTTTTCATAATACAATAAAATACTGTAATGATAAATAATAATTAATAATACATAGTGTGTAATAAGCATGTCACAAAAACAAATTTTATATTTCCAAGATCACTGCTTTTATAATTTATACTCAGGTAAAGGAGAAAATCCCTGAAAATATTATTTTTAAGAGGGGGTTCACAAGACTTGAATTTTAGTGAAAGGGGTTCACAGGTTGTTAACGTTTGGGAACCACTGCCCTAGCACTATCTACACCAAGGTTTAGGTTGGCAGAGCTATGTCTCTCAGAGACATAGGATAATAGGACTTCATATTTTCATAAATAAGAATTTTTCATAAATAAGACTTCATACATATGAATTTCATTATTATTTATTCATAAATAATTTCATTATTATTATTTATAAATAAGAATTTCATTATTTCATATATAAGACTTCATAAATAAGATTTTTTCCATTGCCCTAGCACTATCTACACCAAGGGTTAGGTTGTCATAGCTATGTCTCTCAGAGACATAGGACAATAGGACTTCATATTTCTAATTTTAGATACAAGAATGATACATACATACAAATAGGATGAACACACTCAGTAGACTATAAGCTTTGTAATGATACCTTACAAGAGACTTTTTGCATAAAGCATATTCCAGTTACATTATATTCACTTTACAAGTATATTTTCATAAAGCATATGGAGTACAACATTACACCCTGGTGTTACCATGTCCCATTGCTTATCATTCCACCAAGTTTTTCTGATTCCTATTATATCAATATCCTCATTTAATACCAGGCATTCAAATTCACCCATTTTAATATTTACACTTGCATTTGTATACAAACACTTAGAAAATTTGTCAATATTTAGTTGTTGCCTTCATGTAATGTAACTGAATGGGACTCATTTTCATTTGACTGTTTCTCTTCAGTTCCTACCTGTACTTTATCGACTTATAGTCTCTCCTCTTTACTAAGATACAGAGAATCCCCATGACTGAACCACATACTCCTCCACACCTGTCAGCTTTCCCCCAGCCCCTACTTTAAAAACTCCTCTACAACCTTTTACATTTTATTTACCAGCATTCTGGTTCCATTTTGGTTTAGGTGAAATCCATCCTTCCTATATAGGC